GCAGAACAGAATTTCAAATTCTCATGGAATCTAGATTTTCTGGAGCTATGGAGGCTGGTGGAGCCCCAAAACTATTGCCCTGAGATCATCATTAAACTTTAAACCAAAAATATCCCCTGAAATCGTCTTAAAACCAAACAATAGTTTAGCTTATCTAGTAAAGAATGTCTGCCTTCAGCATTATGCTGTTTTAATATCTATCTGTACGGGATCAATCTGACAACAGCAGCTTGAAAGATGAGACAGGAACCTGAGGGGACAGTGAGTTTATGTTAATGAGGGAGGAACAACTCAGTAAGGAGGGTGAGAACGGTTGCACGACTGGAAGAATGTAATTAATGTCACTGAACCGCACATATAGAAACTTGCATTGGTACATGTTTGCGTGCATATTCTCAACAACATCAACAAATAAATTATTAAAGACAACAACAACAAAGAAAAAGGAAAATCCTACGCAGCACGGTCCCACTCTGACACATGGGTCGCCATGAGGTGTGGTCAACTCAATGGCAACTGGGTTTTTTTAAGGCAAGTTTTACACTTGTAATTGAGTCTTCCAGGCCCTTGATAACAGGAATGAGGACGCCCAAGACCAGAACTGTGGGAATTCCTGTCACAAGAAAGGGAGGCACACCAGAATCAATTAGCAAATTGTCACTCTGGCCTCTCTATCAGCCTGGGTAGGTAGCCTTGTGACAAAGTCTGACCATCTCTGGGTGCACAGATATGGTTCACTTTCTGAGTCTGCAGAATGACAATCGAGCCATTTTATGACAATTTCCCTGAAGTAATGTCACCCTGGGAGGCCTCCTGCTGGTGGCCTTTCCGCGGTGATACCCACTCCATCTCCATATACTTTATTCAAATGCCATTTCCAGCTACCTGACCTTTACAAAGTTAGGTTTTCCTGAAATATGTGTGCAACATCTAAATAACTGTGCAGTATAAAGATCCATTTAAAAAAATACCCTTTCTGCTGAATACTTTCAGCAAAACCAGAACCCTTTAGCTCCTCTGCATAAATCTGAGACCCGTACAAACCCAGTCTCTCTCTATCTCTCTCGGCCTCTAAGTTCCCCAGAAGATTGGAGAGAAGAGTTCCCAGGTCCTCCTTAATTCATTGAAACTTTAATTTGATCAGAGCTGAATCTCAGAATGTGCCAGCTATAGACAAAGATTAGAGAACACGCTGGAGAATTTTAGATAGGACCTAAGCTTCCAGTTGATTTTTTTTTTAATTAAAAAAATGCATAAAAATTTAGATAGACATTATACTGAGCTTAGAAACGTTACCTCGGAGACACCGCCTCCCACCCCGCCCCCTAGTCACCCCTCCTATTAGTCCAGCTGCTACAGACCAGGTGACACCAGGAAAGGCGATAAAATCAAGTAAGTCCTTTTGTCAGCCTGGTAAATGGCTATTGGTTAAAATGGCCAAAATTTGGGGCTTCCATTTCACTCAGCCACCTCATCCTTTTTGGGCAGTTGGCAGAATAGAGGTTTGGGGTTTCCTTCCATCTTAGGCAATGAAATAAAAAGTCCTTTAATACAGGAGGCCATCCATGGCCCTAGGGACACGAGTTTCTTCATGACACAAACCTGAGGGAAAATATTTCAGGTCAGAGCAGCCACGATGCTGTGAGTAAGTGTAACCAAGCTCCCTTCAAAAGCCCTAAATGGCATCACTGAGTAAGGACAGTGCTAAAGGGTCCACTCGAGGTTACGGGCATATTTTTGTTTTTGTTGTCGTGTGCCATCAAGGTGATTCTGACTCATAGCGACCCTATAGGACAGAGTACAACTGCCCCATAGGGTTTTCTAGGCTGTAATCTTTATGGGAGCAGATCACCAGGTCTTCTGCTGCAGAGTGGCTGGTGGGTTCAAACCATTGACCTTTCAGTCAGCAGCCAAGCACTTAACTCTTGTGCCACCAGGGCATAATGGGAAGAGGTTATTATTATGACCAGCAGCATCCCTGGTGGCTCTGTGTTGATGATACTGGCAGATTCTAAATCTTTCCCCAGCTTCAGTCCGTCTCCCTCATGCCAGCTCCGTGCTTTCCCTCCTCCTGCCCCTGGGGACATCCGCTCCAGGGCACAGCTGCCCCTTGACTGACAATCCAGGAGGCTTTGGGTGGGGTCCAGGCACCATCTCTGACTGACTTTCTCTCACCAGCAGAGACCCTGCCCAAGAAACGCCTCTCCAGTCATTAATGACCTTGTCAAGGAAGATCAGTCTCTGTTCCCAGTTATGAGCTTCCCTCCCATTCGCCATCTCGCTGCAGCCCGGGGGCTCCTAGGATCCACTCCCATTGTCTAGGTGTTGTTTCCACTTGGCTGCTGGGGCTCTGGCCTTTATCAGAGTCTAGGTTTTGTGGAGTGGAAAGAATCCAATCGTGAGTGATCGATTTGACCTTTGGATCACCACGGTGTGGCAGGCAGGAGACAGGCAAACCCTTCAGAGCTAAGCAAAATTTGACTGAGCTGCCAGACTTCCAAATGCCAGAATCAAAGACCAACAGCGTCACTAGGGGGTAAGGGGTGTGTGAACCACACCGGGTGACACTGTCAGAGGAGGTGACACCAGAAGGACTGTCTATAAATTTGTGTGCAGTGTTTCAGCAGAAATTTATTATTTTTTATAAAAATACCCCTGTAGTTAGTTATAACAACAAAAACACGTTTTATAAGCCCAGCCTACATGTATCAATATGCCTACAAGGCTAAAACTCCATGCTAATTTACTTTTTGAACCTTCTAATGCGCGGGTCAGAGCTGTCGTTATTACCCAATTACAACAATGCTTCGAATCACCTGGTGTCGTCTGCACTCGCTACAAGCACGCGCTGTTGTTTTCGTTGTTGCTGGTGTTTTTAGTCGCTGATTTTGTCAAATTTTCTGGTGTTTCAGCTACAGTATTGCGGTAATTAGTATTTGTGGACCTATATCAATAACTTTTTTGAGAATGACGTAGTAACTAAAGGAAAAGGAATGATAGATGGGAATTACGATTTATGGAGTAATATTAGTACAAAAAACATTACTAAGGATTCTGTATGATCTGCTAACACCATGACTTAGTGACTTGGGTGACACCAACCCTAGTGATGCCACTGTCAAAGACTACAGCTATGTGGGTTTCGTTTTGCTTCTCCCAGCCTGGAAGCATTTACTATCCTTTCCTGAGCATTCTGTGTAACGTGTGGGCAGACCGCACTGCTGAATTCCCTGTAATGTCAGTCTCGTCATGACTGTATATTTTACATAGGGGCTTTCCTCTGGGAGAAACGAGGGTTGGGGCTGGGGAACAGGACTACTTACTCATTACTCCAGGCTCCCTTCCACTCCACTCTGCCCCACGGATTCCTGAGTCGGATCAGCTTCTCTGGATGGCCATGGAAATCCACCTGCAAGTCCCACACACGCAAAAAAAAACACATCGGGTGCTGAGTTACTGAACTCCTGTCCTGCATTTACATCCGTGCGAGAGAGGATTTGTGTAAAATTGTTCAAACGTCCCTGAACAAGCGCACTTCTGTTTCCTCTTAACGCATGTCTTCAGGCTTTTTCCAGGCGCTCTATTTTTTCCATTGGGTTGAATAAACGAAGAATGAATTTAGCACAAAAACACGTTTACATCTGCTTTCACCTAGATTTAGATTTCACAGCTCACTAAGATTGACTCAGTCCTAATACATGGGACCTAATGATAGTCTCCACCACCTGTCAGTTTGTCATGCTGTGGTGGCTTATGTGTTGCTATGATACTAGAAGCTTTGCCACCAGTATTTCAAATACCAGTAGGGTTACCAATAGTGGACCTGTTTTAGCAGAGTCTTCAGACTAAGATGGACTAGGAAGAAAGGCCTGGCAATCTACTTCTGAAAATAAGCCAAGGAAAACCTTATGGGCCACACAGAACACTGTATGACTCGCTTGCTTTGGACACGTCATCAGGAGGGATCAACCGTGGAGAGAGACATCATGCTTGGTGAAGTAGAGGCCCAGCGAGGCTGACAGAGACCCTCCCTGAGACGGACTGGCACAGTAGCCGCAGTGATGGACTCAGACGTGCTGGCAGTTGTGAGGACGGCGCAGGACCGGGTAACGTTTTGTTCTGTTGTACATAAGATCGCCGTCAGTCGAAGCTGACTCGACGGCAGCTGACAACAATGATAATAAATGTGCTCCAAGCAATAGCACAGTAAACAAAAAAAACCCGAACCCGCTGCTGTCGAGCTGATTCCGACTCGTAGCGACCCTATAGGACCCGATAGTGTTAATAGCACAGTAGCTGGCATTTATTCAGCACAAACTACGGGCCAGTCACTGTGCTAAGTATTACAAGTACACTTTTGCCTCGCTTAAACCTCACAGCAATCCTGTGGTGGGTAGGGGGCTTCCGTTGTTATTTTCATTTTACAGCTCAGAAAACTGAGACTTGGAGAGGTTCACTTACAAAGATGACCTAGATAGGAAGTGGGAGATCTAGGATGGGAGTCTAGTCTGTCTCCAAAGCCCTTACTTGTAACCCACACATACTGCCTTCCCTGACTATTTTTTGAACACTGTTGGGAAAATATAATTAAAAACACAATCAGCTCCCAACACAGAAAACCTCTCCACAAAGGTAGAAGAGAGACAAAACAGTTCATTATGGAGGAAGCATTAAACCAGAATGTGATGCATCGCAGGCAATTGATTCATAGAGAGACCGCAAAGACAGAAAGAGATCTGCGCCCGTGTACAGTAAGCAGATGGAACCCATTTAATGCACGTCGTCAAGACAAACAGTACCTAGTTCTCAAACAACAGGACTTGACGGCACTATTTGTCACACATGTTGTGGTTGTTGTTAGGTGCCATTGAGTTGATTTCGACTCCTAATGACCCCGTGTGACAGAGTAGAACTACCCCATAGGGTTTTCTAGGCTGTAATCTTTACGGGAGAAGATGTCCAGGACTTTTTCCTGCAGAGCCACTGGGTGGGTTGGAACTGCCAAACTTTAGGTTATAAAAAAACCAAACCAAACCCATTGCCGTCAAGTTGATTCCGACTCATAGCAACCCTATAGGACAGAGTAGAACTGCCTCATAGAGTTTCCAAGGAGCTCCTGGTGGATTCTAAACGCTGATCTTTTGGTTAGCTGATGTAGCTCTTAACCACTGTGCCACCAGGGTTTCTAATAGTTCATCCTGGATTCACCTGGTAATGGGAAAGCCATTTGTGTTTGCTAATCATCTTTATCCAAAGGAATAATAAACTTCTCGTATTTCTATGACAGGTAAACCCATTGCCGTCAAGTTGATTCCAACTCATAATGACCCTATAGGACAGAGTTAAACTGCCCCATAGGGTTTCCAAGGAGCAGCTGGTGGATTTGAACTGCTGACCTTTTGGGTAGCAGCTGAGCTCTTAACCACTGTGCTACCAGGGTTCCCCTTTTATCATAAGTCTCCTAAGTCCTTTTTGGAAGTAGACAGGATAACAGGAAATAATGAAAAATACAACCTAAGCTTTCTTTTGAGGTTGAAGAGTGAGAAATAGCTGAGTCCCTTCCCATCATTATGCCCTGCCTTGTAAGGAGGTCAGGCAGGTATTGCTGGCTTTTTTCCCTTTAGGGATCCTGTAGGTTTCCACTGCTTTACCTACACAAACACACTTGTTGGAATATGTGTAGAATGTAACTGACAATCTCCACAAGTTTCTTCCAGAACCTTCTTCCTCTTCCTGGCCACACCTCGGAGGAGAGAGCCTGTGTCCAGTCAGAACCAACAGAGCTATAGCTGCAGGTCTCCATGCAGGTAAGAGTCAGAGCGCCCTGCCTTGTAAGGAGCAAATGCTAACTGCACGCCGGTAGCATCAGAGGCTCTGCCCAGCCCGGGAGAGACTGCACCGCAGCAGAGAGCACGGAGCTGAGAAGCCAGTTCTGTTCCTCTCCCTTCCTCTCAGGGATGCCCTGGATTTACAGTAATATTATTACATAGTACCCTCCACCACCCCCACCAACCTGACTTTACCTCTTCAGCCCCTGTGATGGAGCACACGTGGCTCTCAACCAGCTTCTGGCTGGTGACGGCTTCCGTTTCAGCTGCCCTGGAGACCTGGGTTGAGCACAGAGTCCACTCAGGAAGGCTAACCTTGACCTCACTGAGACCACCCCCACGATACCTTCCAAGGACGTGCTACTTGGCCGTGAGGACGGGACCCAGAGATGGCCGGGGAGTGCAGGCATGGCCCTGAGCCTCAGCTAAATAGAGCCATCTCCATTGGATGCTCCTTAAATCAGGCCTGCAGATCCACGCGGGGGGCTGTGTGGCTGCCACAGCTGGACCATGACTTGCCAGCCTTTAAAATGCCACCAGGACACTGCAAAAGTCACTTATTCTCGAGAGTGACCCCGTGCTGCCCGAGGAAGACAGATTTCCATGACAGCTGGTCTGGACCGGTCCTGGTTCTCCAATGTTTTCCCCACAAGGCTTCCCAGTCATCCTTCCTCTGTGACCCCGCCTCCCCTCCCCATGCTCATACTTCCTCTCTATCAGCTACACACATATCCCGCTGGGATTTTTTATAGAGAGGAGAAAAGAAGAATAGTCTTGCTTGTTTGTTCACATGGCTGAGATCACCAGGTAAGGGCAAGAGAGGAAGCAAGGGCAGCAGGAGGGGCAAGGGACAACCGGACCCCAGGGCTGAGGGTCTCCAGGCTCTGGTCTCCGTGGCCACCTTGGAATCTCATTCAGCCAGCTGTCCTGTCCGACCACGACCCCTGGGGTCAGACCTCTTCTTTTTTCTTCAGAGATCTCAAAGTCCCGCAAATATTGTTAATCATCACATTTGCTTTCCAAAGTCCCAAGATCACTTAGCAAAAGGAGGAAGCAAAGGTAGGGGCTAGGATCCAGGGACAAAGGGCCTTGTTCCTAGGGAAATACTAGCAGTACTAAAGGAGCTATACTGCTGCTGTGGGTGTCATTAGGTGCTATTGAGTTGATTTTCAACTCACAGCAACCCCAAGTGACAGAGGACAACTGCCCCATAGGATCTCCTAGGCTGTAATCCTTACGGAAGCAGGAGAAAGTCAGGTCTTTCTCCTGTGGGGCCACTGGTGGGTTCAAACTGCCAACCTTCCAGTTAGCAGCCGAGCACTTAACCATTCCACCACCAGGGGCTCCACAGCAGGGGGAAATTGGGCTCCTCAGCTAGACAAACTCTACCCCCACCTACTAATTAGGTCTTAGAAGGTCCCTGGGTGGCACAAAATGTTTGCACTCACCTGCTAATCTAAAGGTTGGCAGTTCAGACCTACCCAGTGGCCCTGCTAAAGAAAGGCCTGACAGTCTGCTTCCGTAAAGATTACAGCCAAATGGAGCAGCTCTACTCTGTAACTCATGGGGTTGCCATGAGTCGGAATCAATTCAAAGGCAATGGGTTTGTTTTAATTAGGTCTTAACCAACTTCTAAGTGCTGGGGACCAATATGTCACCCAACCTGCCCAGTAACTCCCACACTCTGCTTCCGGCCTGCTCCGAGTCAAAGCCTTCCCGGGCCTCTCTCCCCTGGCCCGTCCCTTCCCACCCCATATGGGGAGCAAAGAGATGCTGTCCTGGCTCACATCGATGGAGCAGCCCAGCAGGGACCCCGCGCGGAGGGCCTTCCAGACAATCTGATACAGAGTGGTTGGTAGCTTCTTCAGGTCGTAAAACTCAGAGATGCCGCCCATGAAATCCTCAAACCCTTCCATCGTGGACCCTCCAATAAGAGCTTCATAAGAACCATTGAGCCTGCCGGAAAGAGAGAAAACACGTTCCACCTACGGCCATCAGCCACACCAGCGAGGGGCCACGTGGGCCGGGAGTGGTGCTCAGGACGCATTGTGGGCCAGCTCAGCATATCACCAGGAACGAGTCTCAGACAACCCCCAACCAAGCCGCCCAAGCCTTTAGAAAGCAGAGCGCAACTCTTGTAGAGCTGACCCAGGTTCTTGGGTTCCTGGGGTCTGGGGGCACGGGGCGGGGTGAGGGAGACCATCTCTCAAGGCTGAGAGGCATCCAGCTTAGGATTGCTTTGGGAATAGGGTTGGAAAGGAACTCGGGTTGCAGAAAAGGATACCAGTAAATGAAACTAATTAAAAGAACCCCCAAGAAGGCTTTGAGTAAGCATCCAATGCCAGTGAGAAAGGGAAAGGCTCCTGAGCTAAGGGTGGAGACCTCGTTGAGTTTCACATCCAAGTACTTTTATCATTACTCATCATCCTTTTAGAAGTTCCCAGTGACCTAAGCACGTACCCTGAGGTCTGAAGGAGCAGAGAGCTCGGGTACAGACAGGCTGCACGGTTTCATGTGAGGTTCACACATTCATGTGAGACGGAGGTAAGTTTTTTAACTCCTGGCCCAAACTTCTTTCTAGTTACTAAGAAGCCCTGGTGGCGCAGTGGTTAAAGCGATGGACTGCTAGCCCAAAGGCCGGCAGTCCGAAACCACCAGCAGCTTCCTCGGGAGAAAGATGTGGCAGTCTGCTTCCTTACAGATTTACAGCTTCAGAAATCCTATGGGGTTGCTGTGAGTCGGAATCGACTTGACAGCAGTGGGTTTCTAGTTACCGAGGGACGCTTTCTTTTCAGCACATGGGGGTCCCAGGTGCTGGGAAAGACTTGGGCATGTCCTCCTGGGAGGGGGACAGGTGAGGTCCTTCAGGGAGACCCTGGAGTCCCCTGAGCCCCTACCCAGCCCACTTACTTGGCGTAGGCCTTCTCCAGCAGGGCGCTCCAGAATTCAGTGCCGTCTTCGGAATGCAGGAAGAGCAGCTGTCCATCACTGGTGGGCAGTCTGTCGTCTACCACCACATCCACCCACTCGCCGTACTGCCAGAACTGTGGGCAGGAAAACACAGCGGCCGCTCATGGGGATAAGCCGATGGGAAGAGCAAGTCCATCAGCGGACCTCAAAAGGAGACGCTGTGGCCAGCAACGTTCAAGTCTTGGACGTTTAATGAACTCCAAGCTCCGTAAGAGCAGGACCTGTGTCTTACTTATCCACGCACACAGGGGATGCCGAATAGCACGTAGGTGCGAGAAACCCCTAGTCCATCTCTGAGTTTGTGGACAAGAAAACTTGCCCAACCTCACACAGTGGCAACATTGTGGTGACTCAGACCCACATTTCCCGACGCTCAGTCCAAAGTGCTTTCTTCAAGGTCCTGTGGCTGGAGGTGAGTGGGGAGAGGAATGGGTGTGTGCATTAAAGCAGTGGTTCTCATACTTAGGTGTGAATCGCCATCACCTGGAGGGCTTGTTCAAACATAGGATACCAAACCAAAAAATCCCAAACCAGTTGCCGTCCAGTTGATCCCGACTCATGGCAACCCCATATGTTTCACGCTAGAACTGTGCTCCATAGGGTTTTCAATGGCTGGTTTTTTGGAAGTAGACCACCAGGCCTTTCTTCCAAGGTGCCTCTGGGCAGACTCAAACCTCCAACCTTTAGGTTAAGCAGGCAAGCACATTAACCGTTTGCATCACTCGGGGACTCCAAAGCATAGGCTGCTGTTGTTAGGTGCCTCTGAATCGATTCCAGCTCACGGTGACCCCATGTGATAGAGCAGAACTGCCCCATAGGGTTTTCTAGGCTGTAACCTTTATAGGAGCTGGTTGCCAGGTGTTTCTCCTGCAGAGCCGCTGGGAGGGTTCAAACTGCCAGCCTTTCGGTTAGCAGCTGAGTGCCTAATCATTGCACCCCCAGGGCCCCTAAAACCTAGGTGCCTGGGTCCGGATCCCAGAATTTCTGATTCAGTAGATCTGGGTGGACCTGAGAGTAGAGAAAGTACTGTCAGGAAGCAAGAGCAAGGCACAATACCTGAAAGTGGAAGATCCCTGCGTAGCTCTTCTGGAAGCTCTGGTCCTTGGGAACCACTCAGGAGAGCAGCTCTTCATTCAACGTGAGGGAGGCAATGGCTGCCAGAAGCCAGCAGTCACCTGCACGATGTCATGGGAGACACACACTGGTCAGAAGGCCCTGCGGGGTCCCTGCTTTATCTGGTCCTCGCTGTCCTATTCAACCCAGAGTCCGAGTCACACCCTCCCTTCTACGTCAGATCATCGGATTCTACCTCTCTGGTGTCGGAAAGGCGCAGGCGGCCATCAGCTCCTGACGCCTCTTTGGAAGTCATTTACTCAGGACTGGAAATTCTCTGCTCCTCCCCACCACCCCCACATTATGGCCATTTCACATCTCCTAGGAACCCAACCAGTGGAGTGGAAAATGGAAACAAAGCAAAAGAAACAAAAATTAGTCCATTTGACCCTTATTAGCAACTCTGATAAAGCACTGGTTGGGGGAAACAGTGAAGCTGTTTGGCCAGCCCAGAATGTGTGTGTGTGTGTATATGTATGTGTGCATTTGTGTGTGTGTGTATGCGAATACGTGCACACGCATACGTGTGTGCATGTATGTGTGTGTGCATTTGTGTGTATATGCAAATACATGTGCACACATACACGCATGTGTGTATATGTACGTGTGCATTTGTGTGAGTGTGTATCCGAATGTGTGTACACACATACATGTAAGTGTTGTGCATGTGTGTATGTGTGTGTACATTGGTGTGTGGTTGGGTGGGTGGGTGTGTGTATGTGAGTGTGTGTGGACACGTGTATGTAAGTGTGTGTGCATAGTGCATGTATATGTACGTACACATTTGTGTCTATGTGTGTGTATGTGTGCATTTTTGTATGTCTGTGTGTGTATGTGTATGTGTGTATATGTATGCGTGCATTTTGTGTGCATGTGAGTGTATATGTGAATGCATGTGTGCGTTTGTGTGTGAGCAGGTGTGTATATATGTATGCATTCATGTGTGTATGTGAGTGTGTGCATATATGTATGTGTGCACTTGTGTATGTGAGTGTATGTGAATGCGTGTGCACATGTGTGTGTGTAAGTGTGTGTACATCTGTATGTGTATGGGCTGCATGTGTGTATGTCAGTCTGTGCATGTGTATATGTGTGTGGATGTGTGTGGATGTGAGTGTGTGTGTGCTGTGTGTGTATGAGTGTGTATGCATGCATGCGTGTGGGTGTAAGTACGAGTGTGGGTGGGTTGTCTGTGTGTGCTCCTCACCCCTGGTGACCTTGGATAACAATGAGGTGGCTCTATGTGGTCTGATCAGAGCACCCCCATTCACGTTTCAGAGTTTCCCATGACAGCTTGAGGCTTCATGGATTACACCACTCTTGAGATATTGATTAGCATTAAATCATCATAACTTGGGGCAGAAGGTTAAAAATCCTACGGCTTGATGTGGGTTACTTTGGGGCTTCAAGTAAACACAGAGGAAGACCCTTTCTGTGAGAGGTCAGTGTTTCCTTGGAAGACATCATTGTCCCTCTTGGTGTCAACTTCAAAAGCATAAGCCCCAAGCACCCCTTGCCTACCTTAACATCCTATGAAGGATCTATCATCCTGGAATGGATGTAAAATTTTCTCACATCTATTTACATGCTTATTCTACACCTACCTGTAAGGCCTCAGCGTCCTTAAGCGTGCTTCCTGTTGTGTGGAAGAACACTTCCTCTTACTGGCCCAGGAGCTGCCTCCTCCTGCTTCACTGAAGAGCCCCAGCTCTAGGGGGCTAGAATTTGGTGAACAAAATCCTGCCTGGTGTCTCAGCCTTCATCTTTTCCATATAAAGAATCTGAACTCTTTCAATGTATCTTCACGTGGAAGGCCCTTTACCCTCTCAGACACTCAGGATCTTGTCTGTTTTCGTTTAGCACTGTGGGCAAAGTTGCATACACATTGCAAGTGTGGACAAACCATGGTTACCTCCACTCGGGCTGCCTGAGCAAGAAGTAAGCAAACTGTGACCTAGGAACCTACATGGGAGGCTCCATTGTCGCTTAGAACGACTCTAACACCAGGTCATCCCGGAAAGCCCTCTTGTTCTATCTGCCCTTATCTTTCTCCACAGGGGTTCGTGATTTGGTTCCAAATCCATTTCCTTCCCCTTCCTTTTTCCAACTCCCGGTCTCTCTCATACACATACTACACAAACACACACATACATCTACTTCTAAAGTCTTTCTGATATACACATACCACACAAACACACACATACATCTACTTCTAAAGTCTTTCTGATCCAAGAGGCAACCCTGCTTCCCACCCCTCTTCGTCACCAGGCTCCATTTCACTAACAAACACCTTCCTCGTGATAGGAACCAGGGCTCCAGGGTGATGCTAGCTGCAGCAGTCAGGGGAGAGAATTGATATGGATAGGCCTGGGTTATGTCGTCTCCCACCAAAGAAGAATCAAGTGGGGCAGTAACTCGTTAAAAGGCAACTTCCAAAGAGTGAGTAGAAGAACGCTGCTTTTCCTCCTCCCACCCGGCTCCTCTCTCTCCAGTCTTCTTCCTATTAACACCTGTGGTCATGTCATTCCTCTGCTCAAAAACCTCAACCATCCTCCATTGCTTAAGGATGAAATAAAAACTCCTAATAGGGTATCAGGAGCCCTGGTGGCACAGTAGTTAAGTGTTTGGCTACTAACCAAAAGGTTGGCAGTTTGAATCCACCAGCTGCTCTTTGGAAACGCTATAGGGCAGTTCTACTCTGCCCTACAGGGTCGCTACGAGTCAGAATCAACTCGACGACAATGGGTTTGGAATAGGGTATCGAGACCCTTCACGAATGACTCCAACCCACTGCTCCAGTCTTTTTCCGAGTTATACTCCCCACCACGAACCTAGTCCTCCAGTCAGACTTAGATATGCAAAACACATGCCCTGGTCTTTTTCACATCCATGTTCTGCTCATTGGTTCCCTCTGCTGCAAAGTCCTTGCTTCAGCTTCACCTGCTGAATCTCACCCCCTTCTCTGTGAAGTCTCACCAGATGTCTCCTACCCTATAGCCAGAAGTCAGCTCTTTTTGTTTGCATTTCCTGAAGAGCTTATTTATAACTCTGTTGCACGTTTATCAGGAGTCACTGAGTGGTGCAAATGGTTAAGTGCTCAGCTGCTAACCAAACGGTTGGGGGTTTGAATTCACCCAGAGGTACCTTCAAAGAAAGGCCTGGTGATCTACTTCCAAAATATCAGCCACTGAAAACCCTGTTGAGCACGGTTCTACTCTGACACACATGGGGTCGCCATGAGTTGGAATAGACTCTATGGCAACTGGTTTGGTTTTGGTTTTTTGTGTACTTATCACAGGCTGCCTCAGATCATATTTACCACTCATATCACATCCCCAACTCCATCCATGCATCAACTACTTTCTGGAGTTGTCTTTGACTTGACCTGCCTCCCCACCCCCATACACCCCCTCCTGGGAGTGCCCTAGCGCTGTCCCAGGCAACTGCAGCCTAACTGATTTTCCCTCTCCCCCCTCCACTCCCCTCTGATCTCTTCCTGCAGAGCAGGGACGCTGATCTGTTTGTCTTGGAATTTCCAGCATGCAACTAGCACATAGTAGGGGCTCAATGAATGATGGATAAAAATAAATGAGTTCTTGCGTAAAGGACACTGAGGTTCTGTTAAGGATGATGGGAAAATCTGGAAGTGAAGAGTGGTGATGGCTGCACAGCATGATGAATGTATTTAACTTCCCTGAATTATACATGTAAACGATGCTTAAATGGCAAGTGTTCGTTATATGTATAGTTACCACAAAAAAAAATTTAAAGCAAAAAAATTGAAATGGCAAATGTTATATACATTTTACCATAAATGAATGAATAAATAAATAAATGTATGTAAGTAATGGGTTGAATGGTGGCCCCCAAAAAGATATGTCCACATTCTAATCCCTGGAACCTGTGAATGTGACTTTATTTGGAAAAAAGGGTCTTAAGTTAAAGATCTCGAGAGGAGATCGTTCTGGGTTATCTGTGTGGGTCCTAAATCCAATGGCAAGTACCTTACAAGAGACAGAAGAGAAGACACAGACGCACACAGAGGAGAAGACCACGTGAAGATGGAGGCCGAGATCAATGTTAGGCAGCCACAAGCCAAGGAACACCTAGAGCCACCAGAACCTGGAAGAGACAAGCAAGTATTCTCCCCTAGGACTTCCAGAGGGTGTAGGACCCTGCCAACACCTTGATTTCTGGCTTCTGGCCTCCAGAACTGTGAGAGAATAAATTTCCGTGGTCTTAAGCCACCAAGTGTGTGGAAATTCATTATACATCTCTAGGAAACTAATAAATGACCAAATGAACCAATGAACCATATTTTCTTCTCCTGCAAATACCCTACAGCCCCTTACATTGTTGGACATGTTATCAGGAGGGATCAGTCCCTGGAGAGGGACATCATGCTTGGTAAAGTAGAAGGTCAGCAAAAAAGAGGAAGACCCTTAATGAGATGGATTGACACAGTGGCTGCAACAACGGGCTCAAACACAGCAATGATTGTGAGGATGTGCAGGACTGGGCAGTGTTTCGCTCTGTTGTACACAGGGTCGCTATGAGTCAGAACCAACTCGACGGCACCTAATAACAACAACTCCCAGGTCTGCGGAGAAGCAAGGGCCAACAAGTTCACCTGCTGGATCCGGCAGATTCTGCCTCCACCAGCACCAAGGACCTTTGTCATCTAAACCTCTCGGGCAAATGGAGAGAAACAAGGGAGGCCAAACAGAGACACGGACCCTGGGGAGTAGGCAGGGCCACTGAGCTGCACTCCGCTCTGAGGCAGGTGGCTTCTCAAGGTCATCAGGGCAGCCACACACTCCCGTTACTGGGCGTGGCCCTAGCTCCCCTCATGGACCCAGGTTAAGGAGAGGCATCCCTAGGTGGTGCAAACAGCTAACATGCTCGGCTGGTAACCAAAAGGTTAGAGGTTCGAGTCTACCCAGAGGTACCTTGGAAGAAAGCCCTGACGATCTACTTCTGAAAAATTAGCCATTGAAAACTCAATGGAATGCACTTCTACTCTGACACATGAGGAGTTGCCATGGGTCAGAATCGACTCAACTGCAACTGGTATGTATGTAAGGAGAGACGGGAGGAGCCCAGAGCAGAGAGGAACCATGGGTTCAGGAGCACCACAGGGAACAGAACCCGAGACCCTGGCTCCCAATCACGGCTGCTTCCAGCAGCCCACCTGGCACACTCTCTACACATTGCAATTCAACGCACGGCAGCAAAATGTTCCTCGGTTGTTGACATCAAACGCGGCTGCCCAGCTGGAGGAGAGTTTAATTTTCTCTTTGTCTGACTCCCTCCTGACATTTCACAGGTCTCCCTGGCTCTTGCAGCAAGCACGAGGGCTCCAACGAAATGAAGTGGGAACATGGACTTTTGGATCCCTGCCAGTCACTATATCAAGTGTGAATGGGCTGTGGGGACAAGAATGCTTTTTCTAAGGAACATATCCAAATGAGGGTTTTCCCCTTCAAAGGGTCCTCTGGGGAGGCTGGGCCTTTACTCTTTCTCAGAACATTTCAGGAACTTGTCTTTGGGACTTGCCTCGAAGCCTGTGGCACATTCTTGTGTCTTCTTTCAGTGGGGATAACGATTTGATCTTTGTGGTGTTGTTGTTGTTAGGTGCCATCGAGTCGGTTTCAACTCATAGCAACCCTATGCACAACAGAACGAAACTGTGCCCGGTCCTGCGCCAGCTTCACAGTCATTGCTGCTTGAGCCCATTGTTGCAGCCACTGTGTCAATCCATCTTGCTGAAGGTCTTCCTCTTTTTCACTGACCCTCTACTTTACCAAGCATGATGTCCTTCTCCAGGGACTAGTCCCTCCTGATAACATGTGCAGAGTACCTGAGATGAAGTCTCGTCATCCTCGCTTCCAAGGAGCATTCTGGCCGTACTTCTTCAAGGCAGATTGGTTCGTTGTTCTGGCAGGCCATGATATATTCAGTATTCTTCACCAACACCACGATTCAAATGCATCAATTCTCTTTGGTCTTCCTTATTCATTGTCCAGCTTTCACATGCATATGAGGCAATTGAAAATGTCCTGGCTTGGGTCAGGTGCACCTTAGTCCTTAAAGTGAAATCTTTGCTTTTTTAACACTTTAAAGAGGTCTGCAGATTTGCCCAATACGATGCATCATTTGATTTCTTGACTGCTGCTTCCGTGGGCGTTGATTGTGGCCCCAAGTAAAATGAAATCCTTGACAACTTCAATCTTTTCTCCGTTTATCATAA